TCCGTTTGACCGTAACAATGGCCAAAATATATATTTTTTAATTTAAAAAATAAAAGCATATTATTTACTTATTTGATAAGCATTATCAAACAAAACAGCTTATAATAAAAATACCTTCATCATTGTTTATCATCAGATAAAATGGATATTAATTTGTCACAAAATGAATCGCAAAAGCATTTTGTAGACATTCAATCAAATGAAAAAACTATGATGACGAACCCATATTTGATTTTGAGCAAGATTTGTATAAGCAAGCATTAGTTTCAACAGAACTTGAAAATGATTCATGGAAAGAAATTAATACAGATGACATACCAGTTTTACAAGAAATAAACTATGAGGAAACTAGTGATGAATTTACTGAAGAGATTTCTTTGACTAGGGCAAAACCAATCATATCATGCATTATAATAGATAATGATCATAAAGAGATACGTTACTATAATTTAGCCAGTGCTAAAAGGATACAAGAACTTATTGGCATATGGGAAATTGATATGAATGCTATTAATAAGGTTAATAGCGAGTTTTACCTTCTTGGAGTATGCATGAGATATTTTAATTATGACAAAAATACTGTGCATAGTAAAGGTTTAAAGGATGAATGCTCAACTAACAGAAGTCAAGTTAATTGCCGAATTTGTTTTTTTTGTAACAAAAAAAAGTTTTTTTTTTAGTCGTGAACCAAGCTGTATAGAACATATATGGATTGTATATAATCAGACACTACAAGTACCTTGCCGTGGAATGGTTTTCTGTTCAGCTATTAAGGATAGCTTATACACAGAAAATATATACAATTCATGGAGAGTTCACTACGTGTGCTGTTAATATTATGAAAAGAACGGTGGACATTTGCACAAATGAATAGGTAAAGGATATAAAATAGATTTGGGGTGTGTTGAAATATACTTAGATGATACTACATCTGCTCTTTGTCGCTTTGTGAAGTTAATTGAAATGGTAGCACAATCAGAGAACAATGGAGTAAAAAACAATTTACTTCGAATTCTTTTTTCATACTTTGAAAACTTTGACTTAGATTTATTATCTGCACAATCTAATAAATTACCTAGCTTATTTGTAATTAATACGGTCTTTAAAATTAAAAATTTTGATTTTTCTAAACAACAATTTACACAAAAACCTAAAAAATATGAAGAATCTGAAAAATTATTTGCTCTTGAAATTTTAAAATTATGAACCAGTTTAGCTTTTTACAAATTAATATTGGAGAATCCCAAATCCTTGCAACAATATTATGAAACAATATCAAAATGTTTAACAAGTTTTTTTGATGGTTTGGTTTTTACTTTGCAATTTAAAAAATATAAAATTGTTAAACAAAAACAAAAAGAACGTAAAAGCAAAATAGCTGAATTTGACAAAAGTGAGGTAATTAAAAATACAGCCTTTATGTTTTCTATAATTTTAAATCTCGCATTTAGAGGTTAGAAATTTTGGTTTCCGCAAGTAATCGG